GGAACACAAGATATGAATCTCCAAAGTTATCCGAAAATGCAAACATCGACGTCATGCAGCGACACACTAACACACACCTTACGATCAGAACAAAAATTTCTTTGTACCAGTACCAACACTTACCATTCTTAAAATCGTAATCATCTCCTCGCATTTCGGACTATGACTCGTGATTCAAAATATTCGAACAACTCTTAACATATCTCGTGCTCCCAAACTTCTTATAACTCGAGAGATGCATTCCTTCGCCAAAGTTCAGGTTCCAAAACACCGGGGCAACAATTATTTTCGCAACGCTACTCACTTCTTCAAGTTTCGACCCAAACTCGCAATTCACAACTACTTATCAACGTCAACTACTTTCGACAATTACTTATGTGATCCCAACACAAAAGTTACAACAACTTTATTACTCCATCATTGTTCAAACATCAACATCTTACACTTGCTTCGTAAATCAACAAATATTACATCTCTCTTCATTCTTCGAGAAGTAAGCACCAATAATGTATGATCAATTTCTCTTAGGGCGCTCTAACTCGACTAACAACAAGACCTTAAATCCAAGTCACCTTCAAATTAGGGAACAACAAGACTCCAACAATTCTTGCATTGTCGTTGTTGGCAGCACACCAAACCAACACCTTTCAATTGAACATATCCGAGAAGCAAAGCTTCTCCCCCACTTATCTTCAACCAACTTCCTGCAATTAAGGCAAACAAGTACCGACAGTGTTTCACACACTTGTCGCACATTAAGGAACAAATAACATTGGACAACTTGGTCGGACGGACCGACATGCTCTGATACCACTAATGTAACACCCCATTTCTACTCGGCGGATAATAAGAAAATCTGAGTTTAACATAAATAGGATGCTACATTTTTCAACTTATTATCAATCTTCATTTAATCACATACAAACAAATACATAACACTTAACTCAGATGAACCGATAACAATCTGATTTATTCCTCAAAATCAAATAACTTATTATTGATAAATAATGGAATATACATACTCAACTTCAATTCACTTAACATCTTTTATTCAAACTAAAACAACCTCAAGACAACAATTATTTCATGTAATCAACTTAAAAATTCAGCAACTGAAATAATAATCAACAACTAAACATCAAGCGTTGATCCCCCCGAGTGCTGCGTATCAGAGCGATAACACCGACTCGAACTAACGAGGTAATAACTATCCTTCTTGATTACCTACACGTTACCAATAGAGGGTAACATTCAAACGGAAGGTGTGAGATATCTAACAATATAATAAAACATATGATAAATAATATATTAGATCAGATCATATATCATCACCACTTCACAACTCACAAACAACATTAATCACAACAAAACATCAACACGACATAACTACTAAATTCACAGCTTTTAGATGATACTTATCACAATAAGTCAACAACATAAAGCAACAACGAATCTATCTTCACCACAACTCAAGATGCAACATCAAATGCAACTCAATCACAATGCACATGCATGTGGTACCATTGAAGCAGAACTCCCATCTCAAAATAATTGCCAATAAATAGAGGCATCAACAAGGCATAGGCCTTCATCTTAATATTCGCCAATACATACCATCTTAACGAGCATCTGCTCCATCTTGATATGTAATATATGCAACACAATCATGAATGTAGTAACAACAACCACAATTAACAACATCTCAACACAACATCATCGTTGGCCAGAAGCCTACATCTTAATAGCTGCCAATTATTAGAGGCATCTCAACATCATTCATCAACATAATTCATCAACATGATTCATCAACATAATTCATCAACATAAATTATCAACATAACTCATCAACATAATTCATCAACATAGTTCATCAACATAATTCATCAACATAATTCATCAACATAATTCCATAATAACTCAGCCATAACAACAATACAACGACAGATCGACAATCCCTCAATGTTGGCCATAGGTCTACAACATGATAATGCCTATAATTAATTAATCATCTAAGGCTCATCTCTAAATACCAAACCTCTACATATTATTATTCTGTAATAATACATTATTATTATTATTATTATTCTTACTGTTATGAACAACACATAATCTAAGATCGTCTTATCTTCATCATACTTCACAAAATCATCATAGCGATTAACGCGGGAAGCTAACTCTAATCCTAATTTGGGTACTAGTATTATTCTTCTTATCCTTCATTTTAATCCTTAAGAATGAAGTTCGTCGCATTAGCTATCCAACACTTAAAACGACACCTCAAACGGAGACCAAAAACTCAAGTTACAGCCTTTGAAAATGAATCTGCCAAAAATCAGACTACAGGGTCGACGCATCATGTTTTGAGTCAACGCGTACTGGGTTAAAATCCTACATGAGTCGACGCGAAATCCTCTTGTATCGACTCATATTGAGTCTGCAACAATGCATGTATCGATGCATATCCCTATGTATCGACTCATCTTGAGTCCAAAAGCCTGCATGTGTCAACGCATGGCCTTTGAGGTCGACTCATACTATTCTGTCATGAATATTTTCTACGATTTCACTGTGTTTTCACCATGATTTCCCTGCCTTAGGCCCTAAAAACATCCTCTAATCACAGGTAATCATCAATTATAATAATCCTATGTTTCTAGATCAATTATACAACATTAGGGCGTCATTACTCATCTCTAAATCATTGATCTTCATCAAACAACAATATATACATTTCAATCATAAACAAAACAACTTTTCGCATCTAATCCCACATACTACTCATCATAAACCCTATTATAGAGTTAGAACCCCACCCTTACCTTGGATTGGAGATCGCTCTATAATTTTTCGATTGAATTCTGTTTTGCCTTCTTTCCTCCTTTTCTGCAACTTTCACGTTCTCTTTCTCTCTTCCAACCCTTATTTTTCCTCCTCTTGACAAAAACCTATTTTCCTTACTGTCACATCTAATTTCTATTATTATAACCAAACTCAATAATAATAAAAAAAAAATCTATTGGACTTAATTCTCACACCCCCTTAGTACTACATATCACCATATAAAATAGACCCAACAACTTAATCTTATATTATTCCATTAATTCCAACACTATTATTATTAATCAACTAATTAATTAATTAATAATAATCTAACAACTTATATCGACAATCCACAATATCTCACAACTTCAATAAATAATTCAAAATAATTAATTAAATTAATGGATGTTACAATTGTCATTGAAAGACTCGCTACCCGTGATCCACTTGCAAAACGAAACATTATTCATGGTAGCCATAACAGCTGTTGTGTCTTTTGTTTTGCTGAAGATGAAAACGTGTTCTATTTATTTTTCCAATGCAGCATAAGCAAGGAAGTGTGGAGAAGAATGTGTGTTTGGCTAAGGGTGTCAACCGTTGAGACAAATTCAACATCTCAATATTTCAGCAGCTTTATTCTCCATCTGAAGGGTTGAATGAAAAAAAGAAAATCAACGGTGTTGTTTAGTTGACAATCATCTGAAGTATCTGGAAGATGCGAAACAATGTTTTATTCAATGACATGATTTATAATATAGAAGATATAATTAACAGAAGCAAATATATATATATATATATATATATATATATATATATATATATATTAAACACGTTTACCTCTAATTCTTATTACCTAGATAGTTTTGAAGGACATTTTTATGAAAATCATTCTCAGGTTCATTATAAAATGAGAAATCAACAAAAAATTGACCATAGATGTATTATAAATTTTAAAATTCTTGGTAATACACAAACAAATTCAGACAATGATATAAATTTCGATGATAATGGTTATGAGACAAATTAAAAATATTCTTCATAAATACTTCCTTGCGAATAACTCTGACAATATGGACTTATCCAAAGAAAGAACAAATTTAAAAGAATATAGAAAAATGATTTCAGATTTAGAAAAAGAATTAGAATCCATTAATTTACATATTAAAAATATTAAAAATAGTAATAAGACTACATATTCTTCTTTTTTGAAATTTCAAAAAAAAAAAAACTTAACTCTTCAACAAATCTCTACATTTTACACCATGATTATTATCATAAAAGATGACTTGTCTACTTTATCAATGGCTTAAAAATCCTTTCTATATTATTAACACATTCATTATTACACCCATTACACCTATACCATTTATTATTACTGTTACGTATTATTATATCTATTTATACTATTACACTTACACTTATATATTTAAATATTATACTACATGACTTATCTACTTAACTCATTTATTATAAACTTTTATTAAAATGTCATATTCAACACTATATATATATATATATATATATATATATATATATATATATATATATATATATATATATATATATATATATATATATATATATATATATATATATGTGTGTCTTTTTATGATTGCTTTACTTGATTGTATTGTTTGTTAAAAGCTTGATGATGGGTGTATCATGTAAGGTAAGAGTACCCCCTGTACTCGATATTAATAGAATACTTTAGCTTATAAAAAAAAAGTAATATGTGCAAAAGTGTGATCGTGATTAAAACTACTATTCAAACACAGCCATTGAACCTGATCAATCAGGTAACTAGCAACTGCAAGTATCGAAGTAAACAGGAAAATCAGGGTGGGGAAAAAATGGCGCCCCTGGATAAATTAGGCAACCAGGGTTGTATGGAAAATTTGCCACAGTATTGTGCAAATCACAGTGACAGGACAAAAATGAGAAACTGAATAATACCATATCTAACAAGTACAAGTATACATTCAAAACAATAAATTTGTCACAAAAGTAATTAAATTGTTTAAGATATAACTCGAAATTGATTCAGATAATTCGGCCAGCTTGGGTGTTCATTAATTTGGAAATCAAATGGACTACCGAAGTGACATGTCTCATGCCCCCGCCTACTAAAATGCATTCAACAGGATGTCCCCTTTCAATACACTATTAATGTATAAAATCACCTAAAGATCAATCACACGCGACAATTTCTGAATCCTGTTCAACAAGAAGTCCCCTTGCTTAATAGTTGCCTGGTAAAGAGCATTCTTGGCATCAGGGCGGTTGGTTTCAAGAACGCCTGCAACCTTATCGATCTTGCAATGAAGTTTCCCAGCTGCAATAAAACGTGATAGCTCCCTGAAAACAAATTAATGTAATGAGTTTGCCTCCAACAACATTCTAAAACTAACAAAAGTACTAAACAAAAACTGAATCATTTGAGATGTGCATTCACTTACACATCAATGAAATCCACTGATACTCCAAATGCTTTTGCCATTGCTTCAATTGTCACACTCTTGTAAGATTCCAAAAACTGGGAATAAATCACAGTTCTGATCTCTCTCATGTAATACCTGAAGTGTGAATGCAAATAGCGATCCAACTTAATTTGCTCCGTCAAGCCAGCTGATAAGAATTACAAAATGAAACAAAACTGTGAACATGGCACTACAAAGATTGAAATGAACTATTTGTGAGTACTTGTTCCCAAATTATAACAACCAAAAATTAACTATGCACAAAATGTCTTGTGTGAAATCACAGAAAAACTGAGTTTTACAGTGTCTACTCACCAAATGCTGAGAAGAAAGACTTGTATTGACAATCATATAGGGAGTTCAAAAACTCTGACAGATGCGGGATCTTGCCAATCACTGTCAAGATCTCAGGAGCATCCACTACCTGATGCAAATTAGCTTAAGTTGAAGCATAACGCGGCCCAATAAACAATGAACAGCAGTTACAAGAAAAGGATAAACAGTGTAAAGGCGACATGAAAAAATTGATGTACCTTTTGCTTCAAGGAAACTCTATCCAGTGTTATGATGCTTGTCAAAACGGTGTAAAATATAAAGGTGTCATATGGAAAAAGTTCATAGGTTGTAAAGGTGGAGATAGAATCCAAAAACAATGTTGCAGCCTTCTCGAAATTTCTAGTGGACATGCAGTATAGGCCTTCATACACTTTCAGTCTGTTCTTCCTCTCCCAATCTCCACCTTCTTCAAACAAGCTGTCATAATGTTGTAAACAGTTAGAAAGCCAATTCTTAAAACAAAAACATAGCAAAGGATATAACTACAGATATATGAAACTTAAATAATTACCTTTTAGCTTTGTCAATGCTTTTGGAAATTAGATCAAAATCCATGTCAAAGAAACCAAGCTGCAGCGTATAAAACACCAAGTCCATCTTCTGGCCCACTGCAACAGTCTTGGTTTCTGTTAACTTGAGATGTTCCAGGGCTTTCTCCTAATACATAGGGTAGAGTGATGACTTGATTCCAACAGCATAAAGGAAATGAGCAATAAATTATAATAGCAATGCATACCTTGTCCCCAATCCGGATGAAAAACAAGGACTTTGCCAAGTGAGCCTCGCGGACTTCACTCTCGCCTAAGTTTTCCTCGGCATCAGCAATCCTAAAATGAGACATTCACATGGACTATCATAAGTGCAATGTTAATTAAACTTGTCACTTTTCAAATAACAGTTTGTATCTCAAGGAATTGCAATTAGGAAAAAAAACAATTACTATGTATGACCCAACTGACCCAGCCTTGGCATCTTCCATTCTCCCAGTATTTTAGGTTTTCAAATTGTACTTGCTGAGTTGAAATTTCCATATTTTCACTAAAAAAAATTAATTATCTTCTCTATGTTGAAAACAAATACCAGTAAATCCTACAAAGTATGCAGGTTCTAGCAAGTAGCAACAGATACATTGTAACCCCTTAAACAGGTCAAATTCATCCTTCGAGAATTCTATTTCTAGGTTATTTAGCAACATGCATACAGAATTTCATAGCATCACAATTGATATAACCTCTCACAGTCACAGCCAAATAGCAAAGCAACAAAGAGCGTTCATTGTAGGCCATCTTCAGTATGGTAGCACCATTGCATCTTCCTCAAATATAGTGGGCATGGATTACAGTGCTACTGTGTCAACTCTCCCAGGGGGAAAATGAAATAATTCGGTCAATTATATCACATTCTTAACTGAGTACGCTCTCAGCCCAAAGAAAACAAACATGTCAAAAATCAATTTACACCTCTAGAATTGCTTTTGACAAATCAAAGATGAAACCCAAACATACAGTACATCGAGCTAAAAGAATCAACTTAGTTCACAACCTCAGAAAAATGACAGTGGTGAAGATTATGTGACAACTGAAAATCAATAACCAGCAAATCATATGAACAGAGAAACACTTAATATTAAAATTGAAATAAGCAAATCTCATACAACACAGTTAATTGAAAAAATAAACCTACTACAACTCAAAATCCGATATTCTAAATTGGGGTTTATAGAACCCAACCCTAAAAATCTCAATTTAAGGAAAAAAGCGAAAGAGGGACTCACTTTTCGTCAAGCTTCTTAAGCTCATCGTCAATTTTAGCACGCATAGAGTCCAAGAGCGCACGATCCATGTCCAAAACCGAATCGGCAACTAGGGTTTCGTATAAAGGGACCATATCTATACAAAACAAAAACACAAAAAAGAAAATCAGGGTTTACAGAGAAGAGAGAATAGTTGAAAGAAAAGGGAAAGATTGAAACCGTGATCCTTGACGAATGTGAAGACATCCTCCTTGAATCCAACTTTGTCAATGTCTTGAACATCGGGTTGTTTGAGGAGAAAAAGCTTGTCGGCGAGAACAAGCTGTGGCTGCTGAGTTTCTTCTCCTTCCGATGCCATTGCCGCTTACGCTTTTACCTTACACACACGATTCGAATCTAGCCCTCTTTCTCAGTCGCTCAAAACAAGTATTATCAAACTAAGTTTTTTTAAGTTGAAAACAATGTAATATTAAGGGATTCTTTTTTCTCCTTTTTATAGAGATATTTTTAATCCTGTTTTTAAGCACAAGGCAACGAGTTTGGATCCGCTACTGTTATTGGAAATTTGGAATCCAGTTTCTGTCCTTTTGATTAAATTGATGGGATAATCAATGGTTGGGATTTTAAATTTGAAAACCAAATTATTTTAATTAAAAGAAATAGGATTGTATTTTAATTAGCAAGTAGTGTTTTTTTTTTTTTTGGATTTTTTAACCATATTTTTTTAAAAAAAATCTCAAATAACCATTATTATTTTAAGTTACATATCAAACTAACCACATTCCAAACAAACAAAAAATCACATAAAAGATGTGTCATTATGTTTGACGCATGCACTTAAATTAAAGAGGAGGCGTATGCACTTAAATTAAAGATGAGGCGCTACACTATATGGTGCATGCTCCTTTGTCATGTCATGCAGTGTGGTGCATGTATTGTGATGTGCGATTGATCTAATGTGTCTAACGGTATCTTAACTGCAAGTGCACAGTCTATCGCGGTAGTAATAAAAAGATGTCGAACCCACAGGGACTTCGTAATCACTCTAGTGTTATGAAACAGGTTAGTTTAGCTAAGGCGGAAATTGTCATGTTTGGTTTTTAGAAGTTTAAAACTAAAGGAGAAACTAAATTCAATTAAAGGAATTATAATATTAAAGTGGTCGGAGTGTAATGTTTTGAACCTATGCGAATTAAATTGTACCTAAGCATATAAAAATATTTAACTTAAATTGTTCTGTAGTACTTATCAGTTTAAAAACTCTCGATTCACACTCTCGTGGTCTTACCTCGGATCATACTCCTAAAGCCAAATGTCTGCTCTCGCTAGCCCATAAGTGTTTAGAAAGCATCTTTTTGAAAACTAAATAAATCTAATTCGTTTAAAGCGCTCTCGCTGTATTTAAATCAAATGCCTAACTTCTATCCGGTTAAAATCTCACACTCTCGTGGTCTTGATTTCTCCCTATTTTACTTTCCTTACTCTCGTAACAAAAAGCTTAATTTTTAATTATAAAAAATCACGGCCAGAAATTAAGTTAATTAAGGTTTTAGCTTAGAAATACATTAATTCATTCAGTTATTTCATCACACCCCAACTACGGGTATTTAGCTACTCATAATGCTCGGAATTAAAATGCGGGAAATAAAATCGGAAAACAATAACACATGCATTATAAATAAAGAACAGAAATTTAACATAAATAAATTGCAATTATATTAAATACGATAAAAACCTGAAAAGCAATAATATCCTAGATCCTTCTTCCACAAGTCGGTAAGATCGGAACGTCGGAATGAAAATTAAATAAACAAAATGTTGAGGCTTGAAAGAAATCCTAACTACAATAGCAATTTCCTGATGTTGGAAATGCTATTAAAGGTTCTGAAAGGAAAGGGAATAACAAGAACAAAATAAAATCGGAAAATAAAATTGGGTTTTAAATCGGCAGAGCTTCTGCAAGAATTTTCTGAACTGAACTCTCTCTTTTCTTCTTTGAAGTCCAAGCTATTTATAGAGAATGAATACAGTTGGAATTATATTTCACGTTGCTAGATTCTTGGCTTGCTGAGAAAAATAAGGAGAAGGTGGTCTTGGTTGTTGGAGAAAAATAAGGCACACATGCATGCTTCGTTACTTGACCACGTACTGCACGTTCAAAATAACTAACAATATGCTTGTTACGGTCGTGGCTGGTGCGTTACGTACAGATTCCATGAAATAGCGCGTTACGATCGTGGCCAATGCATGACGGTCGTAACACGCTTCTGAAGTGTCTTACGATCGTGGCAAGGGTGTCACGACCGTAATAGCAGCAGATTTTTGATTTTTGACAGATTTATCTTTTCTTTTCTGGTCTTGGCCGCAATCTTGTACATTTCATGTTTCTTTCTAGTTTGAGCTAAGATATGTTGTACCTGCATAAAATCATACAAAACTCGAAGTATTCGAGAGTTAATCGGGTCAATACGATATAAAGCGGTTTAATTTCATAGTAAATATATGATATGATTTCTCGTTATCAAATTCTCCCATACTTAAACCTTTGGTTGTCCTCAAGCAAATAGTCGTAAAAATCGGACAAGTGTTCGTCAGGTGCACATGCACGACACACCTTTGATTTTCGAGATAAAACACATAAAACCAATCGTCAGTCGGTCGGTACTTGAGTAAAACGTCAGTGATACGCCAATGACACAATTGAGTCGCGTATTTCCATTTTAACAAACCGCTTAATCGTTTCGTCACATTTCGACCTCGATCCTCTCGTGCTTTTTCGCCCGGTTTCATTCTGGCGCAATCACATTAAGCCCTTTGTCTTTGCACGCACGTAGTGGAGTAGCCGGTTAGTGACTTTGATCCTATTTTTTCATGGGGTCTGGTACACGAATGTGGTTACCCTATATTTTTCCAAATCGGAGGTTGCGGGGGATCGAGCCATAGCATGCCCTACCAAGTTCAGAACCAGATACCTCTGAACCAACCAACAATGGACTTCTTCTCTTATAATTATGTCTCGTATGTGATCTTTGTCTTTTGGCACAAGATTTTCTTTGCTTAGTGTTGTACCCCAAAATTTGCCCTCCCATATTCTTCAAGACTTGCCAAGTCAAAGCTTCAAAATCTCCCCAAGGGTTGCACAGTTTAAGGGCCTCCTAACAGTCAAAGATTAGGGTTTTGGTTCTGACAAAGAAAATGAAGTTTCCAAGGGTTCAATCAAGTCCCACATGCCTACAAACATGGTCAAGCATCCTCATACCAAGTTTCAAGACCTACAGCACAAAATTGCACAGTCAAAAACCCTAATTGCACTACAGTCAACTGTAGGGGCAAAATGGTCATTTGCCAGACAAAAGTTCAAATTTTTGGTCAACATATCATTTTGAAGTCACAAACATCATTTGATCAATGCTTGATCATGATTCTCAAAGCTTGGCTCAAAAAGTCTCAAGATGCAAAAGTTTCCATATTTGGACAGTTGAAAAAGTCAACTGTAACTTGACCAAGGCATAACTTCCACATGGTTTATCAGAAAAATTCCATCCAAAGCTTATTTTGAAGAGAAAGACATTTCCTACAACTCCTCTTCACACTTCAAGTCCAAGAAATGCTCTCACAAAAAGTTATCAATTTCAACATTATAGGTCATTTTCAAAAGTCAACAAAAAGGGACTTTAAGTCAAAGGCCATAAATTGAGATTGGTAAATCAAAATGACATGGGACCAAAGACATTAGTTAGAGGACTTCAAGACCTTTCCAAAATGTCCAAGAACATGATCAAATCTTAAAAATTGAGCAAGATATGCCTTGTGGAAGTTGGGAAATTTTTGGGTATTTTGAAAAGTCAACTTTACTTCAAATGCCTCAAAATTGCTAATGGGCCTCTTTTTCTTCCAATATTCATCATCCAAAGCATGTGCACGACCATTTGGCCCAAAGGGAAGTTATTCATCATTTTTATTTTATTTATTTGAATTTTTAATTGCTAAAAATTCATTTAATTAATTAAAATATGTGGAAAATACTAAACCAAAGTTTTCAAATCTTTTTATGCATGGAATAACTTAAGGATTTCGTGCATTATTAGATAGGGAAAGAATCAATGTGATTTGCCATGATTGGAATCAAATATGCATGAAAAAGATTGAAAAATTATGCCATGAAAATCAAATATTCTCTACATCAATGCTTTGATTCTTTGAACCAAAAACTCAACCCTAATCATTCCAATACTTATACTCATGCAAACCCTAGTGTTGAAAACCTCCAAGCTGCGCCAGAACTCAAGAACAAAGTTTGAGTTTTTATCAAAAAAAATCCAAAACTGAAAGTGGCCTTAGAGGACGATTTAGAGGAAAAGATTGATCCCATTAGCTTGCCAAGACATTACTGAAGCTAATTGAACACCTTTCCACATCCCTAACGCCCAGAATTGGTATATAGAACTCGAGATTTTTCGCATTTTATTCATATTCGTATTTCAATTTTCAAGCATTCCCATTGCATTTTTTTTGTGGATTCATACTAATTGATGATTCTAAAGCTAACTGTATACTTTAATTGAGTTTTCGTGCAAAATTGGAGGATCCACCATTGAAGCATTCTAGGTTTTCAGAGACCTTGAATTGGGGTTTCTCAGTTATGGAAAAATTAGGACGTGAGACTTAGACCATTAAACTCAGGACATTCAGACGAAGCTTTTGATCACCTCGCGCCCTTTTTCTTTTTGCTCATAAGCTAATCGTTATTTTTACACTGTGCATATAGTGGGGGTTTAAAACCCCCGCAATCTTGTTTTATGTTTCAGGCGAAAAAGCAAGGAGAGGAAGAAGATGCTTATGTGTCTTGACGTGAGAGGACAATTCCAGTATTAGCGCGTTTTTTTGAATTACAGCATTAGCGTGTTTGTTTTTTATGTATTAATTGTTACCCATTATATTAACAAAGTGATACAACAGCGCAGCTGGCAAGGAACGTGAATTGGTAACCTCTGGGACCTGGGTTCGAATCCCAGGTCCCCCCTTCTTATTCCATGTTATTTTTCTAATCGTGCTTCTATGCAGTTTCAATACAAGCGTCCACCATACGTCCATCATCCAGGTTTGCCACGCGCTCATCAAGATCAATCAAAGGGCTATGATCTGAAGAACATCCTAGGCGTCAGTCAACGCATGCACACGCCTCCAAGAAAAGTCAAAAGGGCCTTGAAACAGATGGGCCTAATTGCTAAACAATAACCTCCAATTTGGGGACAGAACCCCCCCATGGTTTGCTTTCTTATTCTTTTGCATATTTTTTTTCTCTATTTTATATGTTTTGTTTAATTGTTATTTATTTAGATCTTTAATTTAATTTAT